AATCTGCAGATGAACGAGATTAAAAATGTAATTTCAGAACATAAAATTATGACAATAATTATAAAATATGACAAAATTATTACCGAACAACCGAGTGCGACAAACATGTCGAATCGTCCTACTGGATCAAGAGCGATCTCTGTCACAGTCTCAGGATTTGCTAGCTTTAGATTGTGACAATAAACCGGGAGTAGGTTAAACGACGATTCCGGGGTCCCCCTCAACAGTTGCAAGGCATACATCTTTACTCGTCATGCTTAGTGGTAGGAGATGCTAATATTGAACCGTTGGTTCACATCTTCCATGATTTCTTTACCACGGTACACTCTCCTACAATCCTTTAGACTGTCTGCCAATATATGACCCAAAACCTTTTTATTTGCATTACGGTGGTTTGGGTGCACTTGGGACCTTGAACATGTGTGTTCATCATGGAGCTTGCGTACCTGAAAAATACTGGTACTATCGATGAAAACAGCCATCAAACGCCAATCACAGTCCGAATCTGAGTGACACACCACCTCGTACCGGTGTTTGGAAGATTTTTTACTTTCATCTGAAAGTTTTCATGAACGCACTTTAATCTCACTGCGAGCTTAAGTGCTTCCTTCGAGTAAAAGGTTTGTAGAACTTTGACATGAGATGTAGGCTGGTAGGAAGTGTTTCCCTTTCTACTTTTGATAACTGGGTTCGGACAAGGTGGTAGGTCGGGCATACCCCAAAAACTATTCCTTACCGGCTTGATATTTTCAGAATCGGAATTATCGTCGTCTTCGGGTATGTTCAAAATTTCGGCAGCAACAGAAACATCTTCTGCCATATCTACCTCCCACAACGGTTTTGACAGTTCGAGAGACCGGATAAGGTACGGGTTGGGAGACTGCATCGGAGGCATGTTCAAGTCTTGAACAAAATAACTGTCAGGTTCAACGGTAACTTTATGTTCAAGATATGAATTTCCAGCACCATCGTAGGGGAAGAAGGTGTTTCGGTTTTCACCACTTCTACTGTTAGGGAAGAAAGTGCTCTGATTTAGACCAGGAGCACAACCGGTAGGGAAGAGTGTGTTTGGACCATATGGGTTTGCAACGCTAACGTCGGGCAAGAGTGTGCTCACAGCACCGGTGTAAAAAGTGTTTGAACCTCCCGGGTTTGCATTTGATGGATTTCCTTCATAACCTCCATTGTCGACAACATATAGTGTCAACATTTCTGGTATAGTTTGACGAATGGCGTTGTAGAGGATTACCACATCATCGTCGTCCATAAACTGATATAACGTATTCGTTTTAAAAAATAAATTTAAAGGACCACGTAAACTTAACTTTTTCGTCACACGTTTGACGACCCCAGAATACGTTATTGGCGAAGACAAACATATTGCACATGTGAGGGAGGTTATCGGAAGGTACTCTAAAACACCATTTATATCTTGGAATAAACTGCCACTTCGAAGATACACACAAACATTATCACTTTCACGTGATTTCATGTTTTGTGATGGTTGATTGTTTTTAATGGGTTAAAGGTTTTGATGTTTTATTGTGTTTAATGGGTTAAGGGTTGTGAGAGTAAAATATATGAGAAAAGAAATAGAAGGGAATGTGTGAAAAATTATGAATTAGGAGGTTGGTATTTATAGTGAAATTGGTATTAGAAAAAAATCAATTTTTTTTACCCGGATCACCCCCGGTACAGTACGGATCGCCCCGGGGGCGAGGTCAAACACGGTCAACGAGGTGAACAGTAATCTCGACTTTTGAGGAATTTTTTTAAGACTTTTAAGGGGGATCACCCCCATTGTGTACGGATCGCCCCCGGGGGCGATCCGGGTGGTTATTTTGTGGCAAAGGGTTATGTAAACCGGTTATTTTTATAAATAACCCAAAAATAAATCAAATATATGTGTAATTATAAATAAATTAATGATGTAGTATTTACATGATTAATAAGACACGAAAGAGATACTACATTTTAGATCCCATCACTTATTTTTCTTTATTTTATATGTTTTTCAACTTTTTATTTGTTTTAGAATTATTGTAACAATATGTATATTTACAGTTCATATTTTTTTTTAAAATACTCAGTTAAAAAATTGACATCTTGAAACCAATTAAATATTTAATTATTAAGAGTTAAATGCATAAAATAGCAACTTACTTTCATAATTTTTTTTATTATAGYATTTTACTTTTGTTTTTCTTTATTACAGCAATGTAATTTCAAATTATTTTTTATTAAGGCATCACACTTAAAAAAATCTACCCATTATAGCAATGGGTTCCCTGTTACCTTTTAAACCGGTTAACCTCTTAACTTTTTTTGTTTGTGTGGCTTTAATGAGATGATGCGGATGACACATCATTTTGATGACTTAATTAAAATAAAAATAAAAACTTATTTCAAATTATTATTATTGATTTTCATTTTTCATTACTATGATATAAAAAAAACATTTAATTTTTTTGACTTTTTCTTATTAAGTTGCATGCAAGTTAAATATTCTGGAGTAAAATATTTCTTAAATAAATATGCTACATTATTTTCAAGATACATTTTGTTTGTAAAAAAGGTAACACTTCTTATTTTATCTTGTTCAAAAAAATACATATCTCTTAAAGTTCTCTTTAAAATATTAATGAAATAAATTGTGTTCTACAATTTTTTAATATTGTTATATTAATAAATAATTAAAAAAATCTAATTAACTTAATATATTTATACGTCAAGTAAAAGTTTTTGAACAAATATAACTATATTCTTTAAAAGATAATATTTTTTTGGTAAAAAGGGAAAAAAATTATTTTATTTTTTCAAAAAACACATATTTTTAAAAAAAATATTAGCGAGATAAGTTGTATTCTACTAGTTTTATTAATATTGGTATATTAATGAATAATTTAGAATTTTTTAATTTATTTAATATATTTATTAAATAACATATAAAATATATAAATATTAAAATTAAAAGTACATTGTTTAATAAGAAGTAGTAGATGCTATAATAAAATAATTTTGAAAGTACAATATTGTAATAAGAAAGTCACATCACTATAGTACATGTGGAATGAACAATGAGATGACATGGAAACTTGGTATAATGGGTAAATTTAAATCAAAAAGTTGTCCAATGCTATAATAGGTAAATTTTTCAAAGTATAATGTTCTAATAAAAAGTAGTTTGAAAGTACATTGTTGTAATAAGAAAAACTGGATGTACAATGCTATAATAAAGAAATTTATGAAAGTAGATCGTTATTTTGTGCATTTTGTTTTATTTAAAATTTGTCGTAAAAAGACTTGCATATCTTTTTTGTAAAAGTTAATGTTATAAAACAAGTTAAGTTTTTTTTTTTTAAATAGCTCCCCGTTTAAAGTTATTTTCTAACATGTTATTAAAAATATAGTTTACAAGTTTTGTTGCGAGGTAAAAACATCATTAGTCCTATAATATTCAGATAAACTGTTAGATCCTAATCATCTTTTAAAGGTTATAGGTTTAAGGTTCATCCACACGAATTGAAAAACAACCCCTTCCCTTCCCTTCCCTCTACCGTTCCATCTCTGGCAAACACAAACCCCAGAAGCAACATCAAAGTTTGGGGGCTTCAAATTCAACAGATCAGCTGTAATCCTTTTTCTCGATCAACTCCTCTCAAGATTGGAGTTTGAGGGCATCAAACTCAATGGGGTTTCCCACGAAGGGTTTTTGAATTGACAAGTTTATGATTTTGATTCAACTTCAAATGAGCATATATTGATTTTTGTGTTCCCCTTGTGACTTCAATATTCAACCTCAAGGGTGTAATAATTCGTTCTACATGGATAGAAAATGTGATCTGTAAAGTCTTTATAAGCCTCTAATAATAACTTTCACCATGATTTTTCGTTGGATATGAAGTTGTTGAGGGCAACCTATTGCTTTAGTCTTTGGGGTGTTACAGAGGGAGTTGCGTGGAAATCATTAAAAGGATCCGGGAAAATGAGGAAATCATTAAAAGGGTTGTTTAAATTTTTTCCATGCAATCAAAAATCACCTTATTTAAGCCATATAATCAGAATAAATAAATAATAAACTGGTTTAAAAGGTAACAACTTATTAGTATAATAACGCGTATAAATCAACCCAAAGACAATTGAATCAATTCCATCGATTAGTGGATCAAGCTTTTTGATATGTTGCATCATATATATGTATCAAATTAGAGGATTTAGAACTATATCCACCTTAACTTCAATCCAAAATAGATTTTTACATTGATTTACAACATAAATTACAAATAACTTAATTATTCATAACAAAATATTTAAATTACAAATAACTTAATTATTCATAACAAAATATTCGTAAAATCCAGAGTGTGTTCTTATTTTTCATTTCTTGGCAACAACACTGCTCTGTCAAACCACTCCACGCCATAAGAATGTAAAAATTTCAACCATTTTTTTTCCCTAATCTTTACCAATTCGAGCTACTTTGTTGCCTGCTTTTCGAGCTTCGATTTCACATCTTCGACTTTAGCGGTCGACCCATATGATAGCCTTCGGTTTCTTGGTGTTTTCTTACTGTTAGGAGAAGTTTTCAGCGAGTTTGATTTTTTGATTGATGGCGATTTCTTGCTCGATGGACTGTTGTTGACTTTCTTTGGCGTTGACACAACGAGAGCTCGGCTTTCCCATGGCCGAGCAGCAATCCATCTCTCCATCCAACTCCAACCCCAATTTGACGTAGCAACTTCGGAATCATTTGGAAGTAAATTGGTATTCGAATTCGCCCTCCACTGCAAATTTATGGGAAGTCAACATGTAATTGAGTACGGACATTTATTGACAGAGGGAATACATAAAAGAAGTCAAAAGCCAACGGCTATGTGAGCTTACCTGGTGAGAGAATGCATATGCCATTGCTCGCTCACGCTTTACTGTCGCTTCTTCTCGTTGTTTCATCCGTGCAAGAGTCTCGACCATCGTATGAGAGCCACCACTCCACTCCACCTGCAACATAGAGTTTGACCAAAATTAGGTCAACTTGAATACATCAAGGCTCAATGTTATCCTAACAACATTATCTTTTTGGTCAAATGGAGTTTTTCGAAGTCAGAAGTACTAATGGCATCTAAATTCATAATCTTTTTTTGCTTACTCACTCAAATTATTGAAAAAGTGGTAAGCTTTTGGCTTTTTCGATCAAATGGACATGTTTATGAGACGGAATTTGCATTACCTCTAGATCATGGGCCTTAGCGTCAAGCCTTAATTGATTCTCAAGCTTCTTCTGCTTGATCCCGCAGTCTTCCACCATAGAAAGCCTGCGAGTTCTTATCTGGGCTTGTATCTTGCTCCATGATTGAAGATTTCTTAACGTATTTGACGTTTGCTTTTTGCCAAAATCGCCTTCCATTAGCATCTGCAATCTTGCTAATCGTTTCAAATTGAAGAAAAGTTTTCTTGCCTGAAAAAATTTACAGCATAAAAGTCAAACATCAGCAAGATCATCTGTACATACAGTAGATACAGAGATCATTTTATAAAACAAAATGACGAATATTACAAGACCCTGTTCAAATAGCGAAATAAAGGTTGATTCTTGATGTGAAATTGACCAACTTTCTTGTATGATCATCACAGATGTTTAAGATACTGATTTTGGCTTACAAGATTCCTTCAAAAGGGTATTTTAGATTTTTACTAAACCAAGTATAGTCTCAAATGTTGTTTGTGAGAGATGAAACTATTTTGTAACCATAATCGCTAAACGTGATATACCTTAAACGCCCTGAATGCAGTTTGAATCTGTATTGCTGCTGTATCTTCAGCAAGCCGACCAACAGCCCTACGATACGCATTAGCAATATTTGTTGGTTTCTCTAGAGATCGGGACTTCAAAACAAACCTGTTTATTTCCGGTAATGCAGACTCCTGTAAATATTGCAGTGTTAGAAAAGATATTATGTTCAAACTCCGAACACACACACACACATATACACGAACCATAAATTCCATACACCATGATTAGATCAAGGAAAACACTCGCATATAGATCATGTTGATGAATCGCATACCTTCATACTGCTCGATTTTTGTTTCCTCGCTTTATTTAAGCTGATTATATTCTTCAACCAGTCGCCAGATCCCATCGTTGATCTGACACTTCGCTATGCTGTGAGAGAAAATATATATTATGCATGATATGTATATACATGTATATTCAATTGTTTTGAGTCATAGCCTCTCCTCCCCAGAAAGATTGCAACAATTTCCATCATGGATGTTTAAAGACAAGCTTTTCAAACATTTTTACCATTTATTGTATCTTTAAAGAAGGGTAACGTCGGAATATCACATTTCGAAATCTTGATTTTCCGTGGAAGAGAAAACGTCGTAAAGTTGACTTTTTCCGGAAACGAATGAAGTAAGACTTAAAGGCATGGTAGAAAGACTCTAAGCTAGAGAAAAATGGCAATCACAAAACCAACTGCATTCAACTTACCCTAAAACTCAAAAACAATGAAGGGTTAACTTTATTTTCACAAATGTTGTGAATTTGAAGAAAAAGATTGTCAAAATACTGAAACCCCCAAAGCAAATATTGAGATAAAATGTAAAGAAAATTTTGGATGAACACCCACATACAAAAACCACAACAATTTGATACAAAATTAACATCCAAAACCCTTGTGGCCATGGAGGTTCATCTATGATTACCACAGGCCATTCGTAGTCGTGAGCATAAACACAGTTACCCAAAAAAATTAACATCCAGTTTTGACAACTACTCAAAGTCAACCCATCATGAAATGAAATCATAATAATGAAACAATAATAAAAGGACAAACTTTATTTCAGTAAATGCTGTTGACAGGCCACATCATCCTAATCAAGATTCATCAAAAAATGGAAAACCCCAAATCAATTCTTGAGATAACAATTGAATGAATACCCACATAAAAAAACCAATAAATTTAGCATCCCATTTTGAAATTACTTGAAGTCAAAGCAATAGTAAATGAAATCATAATAAGTCAAACAAGAATTCAGCAATCATGATGAAAAGGGTAACTATATTTCAGCGAATGTTGTTGACTTGCAACGTCATCAAAATATAGAACTCACAGAAAACTGAAACCCCAACAGAAAACAGTCAGTATACAGAAGATCTTGGATGAACACCCACATACAAAAAGCCCAAACAGTGTGCAACAAAATTAGCAAGCAGTACTGCAGTAGTCAGGTTACTTAAAGTCAACGGATAATACATTCAAGTAATTGAAATCGTAATGAAGCAAATAAAAGTTTCAGAAAGAGAGATTGATGAGAGGGACATACCAGAAGACAAAAAAGGTTCAAATTTGGATTATGAATCCTGTTAGAGAGCAAAATGGGCAAACACCCAAAAGATTTCTTGAAAGAATAAGCAAAAAGGGAAGTGGTGTGATTGCATTTGGGGAGGGGGTAGTAATAAGCGCAATGAAGAAGAAAAGGAACAAAAAGGTGGGTGTGTAGAAACTGTGGATATCTTTGCCATGGCCCATCACTGTTCACCTGCCAAAAGTTTTTAATTTTAAATTAGATTATACCTCCCTTTGGAGCGTTTTGATAAATGATATTAAATGAGTTTTTAATTAAATTCATAACTTATTAATCTATATAAATATAAAAAAATGATTTTGTACCTAGTAAAAGGGCATGAATTTAGTTAAAAGTTATAGATTTAATTAAAATCTCATTTAAAATTATATATGTAAAAATCTTTCCCAATTATATTATTTTTCTTTCATGTGTCTCCTTTCATCAACAATTTATTACAATATAAGGGATTACATACACACACACACACATATATATATATATATATATATATATATCTATACATCTAATAAATAATTAATTTGGGTGACCCGTGTCAACTTTTGGTGAGTCGGTTATCTTAATTTCCTGTCTAAATATGTATCTAGACACAATTTACATTATTAGTTCAGTTAGACTCATTTGAACGTATTCAGACACAATTTACATTAACAATTCAATTGTATTCATTTGATTGACATGGATCCTCTTATTCAATCAATCATACTTTAGAATGCAATTGATTTTATTCTTTGGTTAATTAATTCGTGTGGTAACTGATTCCCAAAAAATATTGTGTTTACTTCTAAGTTAAAACTCAATTTACTGATATAGTTTTATTTTTAAATTCAACTTTATTCTAGGGTTAACTTCATTTTATTCTAAATTCAATTTACTGAAAAGTTTTACTTCAGAGTATTTCAAGAGAACAAGTCTGAAGTCAATCTTCAGAGTTAGCTCACCCGAACTTTGAAGTTTGCTTTTTCAAACATAACTCCCCCAAATTCTGGAGTCTGAACTTTGAAATCTTCTTTTTCAGACTTAGAAGTCTGAACTTTGAAGTCTTCTACAATTCTGAAGAGTACAAGTCTGAAAAGTCATTATTCAGAGTTAGCTCACCCGAACTCTGAAGTTTGCTTTTTCAAACATAACTCACCCAAACTTTGGAGTCTGAACTCTGAAATCTTCTTTTTCAGACTTAAGGGCTGTTTGGCAGTTACTGAATGGTTTAGTGCAGGATGATTAAGTGGTCAGAATGATTAAGAGACTCTGTATGATTTAGTGTTAGATAGAAAAAAGTTGTTTGAAAACCGTTCTGAATTAACAGTCTGAATTAGGGGTGCTCACGTCCCGGGTTGATCGGTTTGGAGTCGTTTTAACAACCCAACCCAATGTTGGCGGTTTGAAAATTTTCAACCCAACCCAACCCGTTCGGGTTGATCGGTTTGTGTTTAAACAATGTAAAATCACATAAAAATAAAGAAAACTTTCCTTTGAAATACGACCGACCATTCAAGATAATATGCAAGTTCATCAAATATTTAGATATTACAATAAAAATGTTTAAACCAAATGATAATACATCAATCAACAACAATAGTTTTAGACGTTACCAACCCCGATGCTTTCGCTTTCTTGACGTTGAGGTTGGTCATGTCATGATTGTCATCTACAATTCAAAGCTAAAGTTAAGGTCGGGTTCATCGGGTTGTCGGATTGGTCGGGTTTTTTTGGGTCTAACCCGATTCCAACCCAATAAGGTCGGGTTGGCTAATTTTTTTATCGATCATACATCGGGTTACCTCGGGTTGGGTTTTTTTTTTTAAATTCGGGTTGGGTTGGTCGGGTTCATCGGGTTTTTTAGCACCCCTAGTCCTAATGACATAAAATTACCATTTTACCCCCAGTCTTGTGTTTAATGAAAATTAACGTTTGACAACAGTTCTGAAGGAAATTTCTAAATGAAAAATAGAAAATAATTAATGGTYCAAGCCAATACATAATAGTATATCAATCCAAACAAACATGACACGATTGAAAAACATAGGAAAAAATCTCTTATAATTCCCTATTCAAAGCATTCTATCATCAAAAAAGAGTATACATATTGTGTACAATAAACCAGATTATACATAAAAAAAAAAGATGTTGATTTTTGCTGTGCACATGTGTTCCTCCAGATCTGTGGCCGGGTGTGTTGAAAAGAAAACTTGGTAGATAGGAAGTCCACTGCCAAGAAGGATTATCTTATGTTTCCCAAGGCCAAGGAGATATGTTTATATTTAGGTAGGTTTTTGCCATGTCACCATACAACACTCATAACTATAACCCCATTCTTAGTTTTACATTTCCAGTAATAAAGTTTGGTAAAAGGAACACCCACATGGCCTCAAATAAAAATTTCTTAACCCTGCTAACAGTTGTAGGCTTGTAGCTAACAAGTGTTTGCTTCACCCAGAAAGTCTACCAAGCTTATTCTCCATCATTGAAATCAATATTAGTTCTAATGGAATCGGACCTCTTTAACCATAAAACATAAAAGCCAAAATAGAGAAATTTGTACAGTTTGATGGGTGCAAAAGAACTCACCAAAACAGAGAAATTTGTTTCTCAAGCCTTGCTCATTGTACTAAGTCAAATCTACAACTCACTAGAACTTAATATATCAATTTCAAACAAATCCAATCCAAATCGATTTCAAAACAAAACCCATCCCAAATCCAATCCATTGTTCCAAATGCAAAACAAGCTTCTAATTGATCTGGGTTTGTCTTATGCATTCCTATGCTGTCCATTGTTCCAAGAAATCGATGCTAATACAAACCCATTTTTCAAGAAATCGATGCTAAATTGCTAATACAATTTTTTTGAAGTTTGTAAATATTTAAAGTATTTGACAGGGAGCACCGATACATAAATCGGAATCGATGTAAAGCAAAACATAAATCGAAATAGGGTTTGTATCTGAAAAAATGGTCTTACCTCTTTCAATTTTGATGGTTCCCTCGTCCCCGTCTGTTGCAGAATCAAATGCAACCTGTTGCCAAGTTGAATGTGAAGAAATAGAAAAGATCAATGGTGAGAATCAAGGGTTCTTGAGGAGCATTTCTTGAGTTTTTGATGGTGAGAATCAAGGGTTTTTAAGGAGCATTTCTTGAGTGTTTGATGGTGAGAATCTAAGGGTTTTTGAGGAGCATTTCTTGAGTGTCTGATGGTGAGAATCAAGAGTAGTGAGGAGAAGTATGAAGTTGTCGTTTGAAGGAGGGTAACATTGRAAAAAAGTGAAGTCTGAATCAGATAGAGGATGGAGTGGTGATGGAGCGAATCAGACCTTATTGAACCATTCAGATGTTTTAAAATGCAAGCCAAACAACCCATTGTCTGACTGATTCAGACAAATACATCTGAATGGAATCAATAAGTGGTAAACAAACAGCCCCTTAGAAGTCTGAACTCTGAAGTCTTCTACAATTCTGAAGAGTACAAGTCTGAAAAGTCATTCTTCAGAGTTAGCTCACCCGAATTCTGAAGTCTTATTTTTCAGACTTAGCTCATCGGAACTCCGAAGTCTGAACTTTGAACTCTTTTTTTCCAGACTTAGAAGTCAGAACTCTGATTTAATGGAATTGGTTTTATACTTCAGAGTTATTTCAAGAGTACAAGTCTGAAGAGTCATTATTCAGAGTTTTATTTTAGAGTTATTTCCATAGTACAAGTCTGAATAGTCATTCTTCAGAGTTAGCTCACCGGAACTCTATAGTCTTCTTTTCCAAACAGACACCATGCAGAGCCTCTGCATAGTGCATGCATAGCTTCTAGCTTGTCTATACAAAGCTCTGAAGTCTGAAGAGTTTTACTTCAGAGTAATTTCAAGAGTACAAGTCTTGTAATAAACTTATCTAGACTTTGAACATAAGTCTTTAAGACTTAGACTTAGTCTTGTAAGCCAGAGCCCCTTTGGTTGGTCTGGATTCTATATGTCTTCGCTTCTGGTTGTTTATTTGAATCTTGGAAAAATATTCCAATCCATCATAAAGGAACCAGAGGGGCTTTGGTTGATCTTCATGTTTAACCAGAGGGTCTCTGGTTGTAACTGAAACTCAAATTCTTTAAGCATTTAACATTTTTTTTGACCTAGAGGCTCTAGATAGACAAACCAGATGCTATGGTTGACCAAAGGGCCTTTGGTTGGCCTTGCTTTTGAGTTGTGAGTCCACAAGGGCTATGGTTCTTAAGAACCAGAGGAGCTCTGGTTGGTCTTGCTCTATATGATGCAAACTTTACCATAAGGTCTTTTTCAAAGATATTGGGTATTTGAATAACTATGAACTCAAGGTCTTTAGATTTTGTCTTCAGATTTGACACAAACGCTCTTCTAAGTTTAAATTCAATTTACTGATATAGTTTCATTTCTAAATTAAATTTTATTCTAGGGTAAACTTCATTTTAACTAATTATTGATATAGTTTCGTTTCTAAATTCAAGTCTGAAGAGTTATTCTTTAGAGTTATACTTCAGAGTTATTTCAATAGTACAAGTCTGAAGTCATTTTTCAGATTTATTTCAAGAGTACAAGTCTGAATTCATTCTTCAGAGTTATAGTTCAGAGTTATTTCAAGAGTACAAATATGAATAGTCATTCTAAAAAGTTAGCTCATCCGAACTTTGAATTATGTTTTTTCAGACTTAGCTCACCCGAACTCTGGAATCTGAACTCTGAAGTCTTTTTTTTAGACTTAGAAGTCTGAACTTTGAAGTCTTTTTTTTCAGACTTGGAAGTCTGAACTCTGAAGTCTTTTTTTAGACTTAGAAAAAGAATTAGAAAAAGAAGTCTGAAGTCTTCTTTTTCATACTTAGAAGTCTGAACTCTGAAGTCTTCTACAAGTCTAAAGAGTCATTATTTAGAGTTAGCTCACCCGAATTTTAAAGTCTAAACTCTGAAGTCTTTTTTTGAGTCTTAGAAGCCTGAACTCTGATTTAGTGTGATTGATTTTATACTTCAAATTTATTTTAAGAGTACAAGTCTGAAGAGTCATTCTTCAGAGTTTCACTTCAGAGTTATTTCCATATTATAAGTCTGAAGAGCCAATCTTCAAAGTTTG